ATTGACAATGAATACATGGCAGACTGTCAAAATTTTTGTTATTGAGTGTATATTGTATTGGGAATCCGAGCCCGTGGTTCCATTTGTCTCGCCACGTGGATCAAAATTTTCTATTCATTTGCCCACATCTGGCTTCGTTTCAGTTTTGGAGGCTTCGGTTAATTAAGTCAGTTGGATAATTTTAGAAATAATTAAGAAATAAGACACCATGTTTTGGATAAGACTAACAGAGAAAATAAAATAAAAGGGTAGCCCGATTGGCCCGTCTGTCATGTGCACGGAGGGAACCCTTGCGCATAGCCAACGCATCGACGCCGCCGCCTCTTCCTAGGTTTCTTGTCTTCATCTCCCATCATCCTTTTCCTTGCTACCATCGTGCAGTCCAGATAACACCGGAGTCCGACGCCTACAACCACTGTCCAAGGGAAGCCAACCATTCTTGTCCTCGGCCCCGATCTGTTGATGCAGAGGTACAGGAATTTACTCTGTAACGGAAATGTTCACCGGCAGCCATAACCATGCTAGTATAGAGAACTGTGGAGGGGTGTTATATAAGTTGCTCCTATTTGGAATAGGTCTCCCCAATAATATATTGTACTAGGCAAATTGACAGAGATGATTAACATATCTAATGATGTGATGTACTTGCTTGTATCCAATGATGTGATGTACTTGCATTATTCAATAGTGCAACCTCCAACCACATGAGTTGGAGATATTATTATATTTCGCCATTATTCTATTCATTTATTTTATTTTTGCAAAAACTGGATTTGATCTATTACAAAGGATGTGCATATTGCTGGAACATATGCCTTGATTTTCGTCTAGCATGTCACTACCTACGTGTCATATGTTGTCAGCGTGCATAGAGGGCCATTCACCCTACAAGGAACTTCCGAGTGAGGAGTTTGCGCTAAGCCACACCCTTTATTTTATCCCTTGACAATTTTCACCACGTCAACGCAAATATTTCCTCAACCAAAATAAATAGTGGACCAGTTTCCCTCCTAGTATATCACATAATTTTGTAGAAAAAATAATTAAAACTATGAGAAAATCTGGAAAACTATTCATCTACAATTCACAAGCTCCCATATCTCCTCAGATGTAAGAAAGATGAATAAAAAATTGCAACACAAAAAAACAAGAATTAGATCCAAAGTTGTCATCCCCCTCACTTCCCCATCTTAAAAATCAGGATTGAAAAGGGTGATGCATGACAATCCCTTTCAAAATACCAATTCATTTAATATTCCATGATCAAAACTAGACTTGCCTCATATAATGTTGATTGCCACCTTGACTTAATTATGGAACCTAATTTAGAATCTATGGATCCTATTGAGGGAAAACATACAAAGTCCATGTAGTAAAACAAACCAAATAGACCAGTGATTTGTTTCCACTCTAAAATAAATCAGAATCATGAAAAACATACCCAACAGGGATGACACACAAAATGGTTAGGTGCCGTCTGTGAAAATTTTCATATGAACATATATAGCACTTAAGTATGATCTACTAAGGGAATGATATTTTAGGGACTAGTGTGACAAATCGTGCTCGGCAGAAAAGCAAATACATACATACATTTGAGGTGGATAAGGTGGTAAATGATGTATATGCACACATCTTAGGTGTGTGTGTGTTGCATGGGTGGGTTATAATAACTATGAAATTCTATAGACATTGACAATGAATACATCGTGAACCGCCAAATTTAGCTTCTTTAGTGTAAATTATATTTGGAATCATAGCATGTGGTTGCATTTATCTAACAACATAGATCAAAATTATCTATTCATTTGCCGGACCTGGCATGGGGTGAATTTTGGAGACTTTTTTAAATTAACATTCTTGGATAATTTGGAAATAATTTAAAAAATAAGACAACATGTTTTAGATAAGACAAAAGGAAGAAAAGAAAATAAGAGGGTAGCCTTGTTGGTTTCTCTATCTTGTGCATGCATACATGACCAAGAAGGAACTTCCGCGTGAGGATGTGAGCTGAGGCACGCCCCTTATTTTTTCCCTTGACTTTTTTCACCACGTCATCACAAATATTTCCTCAACCCAAATAAATAGTGGACCAGTTTCCCTCCTACTATATACCATATTTTGTCTAGAAGAAAACTAAAACAATGGCAAAATCTCGAAACTATTCATCTACTATTCACAAGCTACACAATCTCCTAAGATGTAAGAAAGATCAGCAAAATTGGCAACAACAAAAAAGAAGTATTAGAGCCAAAGTTCTCAGCCCCTCTCCCACTCACTTCCCCATCTTAATGCATTCGTGGCATTAAAACAATCACATACAATCTAACATTTAATACACGAAGTTGCCATGGCCCATCCATTAAAAGCTACGTTATACACTTAAACATTTGCCATGGTCTAGGCATCAAAAGTATCACATGATACTTTAGGGACTAGTCTGACAAATCAAGCTCACTAGAAATGGCAATACATACAAATATTTTGGGAGAGACGGATAAGGTAGTAAAAGTTGTATATGCACATATCTTTGGTGTGTGTGTTGCACGGGTGGGTTATAATAACTATGAAAATGTATAGACACTGACAATGAATACATTGTGAACCGCCAAATTTAGCTTGTTGACTCTATCTTGTATTGGGAATTGGAGCCTGTGGTGCACTCATGTGACCACATAGATGAAAATTATGTATTCATTTGCCAGACCTGACTTCATGTGAATTTTGGAGACTTTGGTTAATTATTGTTGTTGAATAGTTTCAGAAATAATTTGAAAAATAAGCCAACTTGTTTTAGATAAAACTAAAGGAACAACAAAAAAAATAAGAGGGTAACCCTGTTGGTCTCTCTATCTTGTGCACGCCTAGAAAACTTGCGCATAGCCAACGTATCGACGCCGCTGCCTTGGCCTAGGTTTTTCTTCTTCTTCCTCCACCACCGTTCGCCTCGCCGCCACTATCTAGTTCAAACCACATAGGAGTCAGCTACAAATAGCAGTTGTCCTAGGGAAGCCAGCCGTTTGCGTCCTCGGCCTCGGTTTTTGCTGCAGAGTGTAGAATTGCACGCACCAGTAAGTTCTCCCAAAATGACAAACTTATGGGGAAAGGTGGAGTATGCATTTATACATTGACACTCCCCTTCACCAGTAGCCATAGTCGTGTTAGTATGGTGTCATGTGGAGGGTTTTTTAATCAGCTGCTCCTACTTGCAATAGGTCTCACGATTAATATATTATACTTGACAAAATTATAGAGATGCTCAACATATCTAATAATGATGTGATGTACTTTCTTGTATCTAATGATGTGATGTACTTGCATTATTCAACCATTCAACCACCAACTAGATTTCGCCAATATGCCATTCATTTA